ATAACAAAATAAGAATACTTATTAGCATTAGAGAAAAAAAATCATCAAAAGATTTAAATATTAATTAGGAAATGATATTAAAAGTATCAAAAATGAGTATTGTTTTAAAGGGTAAACCGTTAGTTTTCTTATAAATATGAAATATATAGTAAGGGGGAGTATTATTAAAATCGGGAAAATTTTCGAATCTCAGTTTTCAACGGAAACTGTGTGTTAACAGTCTAGCTCAAAAATGAAAAGTCGTATGAAAGTGAAATTGCATTTTTAAGTTTTTTATAAGCTTGGGATTGTACAACAACTTATTCGTCAAAATCGTATAACCGAAAGTGGCACTTTATATCATGGATTAAAGACATTTTTACGACTTTCTCAAACACAGTTGTTTTAATTTTGATTAAATTCATTACATCAGTGTAAAATTAAGCAGTTTTAAAAAATGTAGCTTTTATTCTGATTGATGTTCTCTAGCAGGGATTAAATGGCTAATTTTCAATATTAGCTTCTCCTAAAATACCTTTAATTTCTTTAATTTGACACAACTGACCATTTCACATTAATCTATAATAAAAAAGATAGTTAAATATAAAATATGAAAGAATTTGATAATTAACTCGATTAGAACATGCTTCCATACGTAACATGAGCTTAATATAATAAGGACTTACAATATGTAAATATATATATGCGGTTTTCATAAATGCTATTGTTGGTATTATTTAATTGTATAGATTACAGCTATATAAATATTAAAATTTGTATATATACAAACTTATACAAATAAAAATACCCACAATCAAATATAAATCAATATGGGATTTATAATTTTTACTTTCATTTCCCCTTTGTCTGAAAATACTTATTTCTGTCAAGAGGGTGTTAAGTAAAAGTTGTGTGATGCGCGCAACGAACCAGATTTTTAAAAAAACATTTTCGGTTTGTTTGGAACTAGATAATATTAACTTATCAAGTAAAGGTTTCATAGAACTTTTTTTAAGTAATAAAAAATTACTCTTATTCATAGTTTCTTAAACATATTGGAATCATGAATCGTTCAATACCTGGAGTTCTAGTAAACGTCGAATCAAGGAGAAAATGAGGCAGTTTCAATGTCTAGATGTTCCATAAAATTATAAATTTAATCTGATTACGAAATATATAGAAAATCTACGCAAATATAGCCCAGATAATGGAGAAAAACTAGAGTAGACACAATACCTGTACACTAAGCAGCTGGCTAGGACGATTGCAGAAGCTGAAGAGTCGAAGAGAGAACACAAACTGAACGAGACTCGAACCCGATTAGGACGGTCAATTACTTCATTAGAACCGCTCCGGTAGCCCAAGCTGTCTGTAACAGCCCCGTGACATCGCTACAACAACACCATTCTCTTACCGAGTTCTTGTGCAATCCTCTACGCTCCTTGTTCTAGCCAAACAGCCCGCTAATAGGAGTCTAAGGATCAAGAAATTGTTTTCGATGGCTTTCAACTATGGAGGATGCTATAACTAGCTCCTTTGAAAATATTATTCCAAGCATTGCTTAAAATTACACAAGGTCTGGATTCAAATCAGATGTTATGTGGTATCAGGGATCTTCCGATAATATTGATATCACCCAATATCGTATCAGTTAACGAATTGAAGGTAGTGAAGAGTTTATAAGTAATGGTTTTATTCATAATATCTCTTACAAATGGCAACTAACACACAGAGTGATATACCATAGGTATATGGTTTGACTGCACGAGTTCACTCCAGGTCTCCTACAGTGAAGAGTGTGACTTCAAGAATGTAACTGCTTGAGTAATTTGGTCTGAGGAACATACATGGAGTTTATATACCCAAGAATAGCAAGGGGGTGAAGGGAAGTCGAAAGAGGACGGCAAAGGAAGTTATCGATATTTAATATTCTTAAGATGTCTGTGAGAAAGCGCCCTTTTCCTGAAATCGGTTATTGTTTCCTGAGTCTTGATAATAGGTCTTGTGTCCACTCGGTGACTTCTAGATAACTATTTCTAAGCTATCAGAGATAGCTTGACCTGGCTATCTAAGGATGTTTTGTTCTTTTATTCTTTGAGTCGTGAGAAACTACAATAGAATACATGATTCACCAATTGGGATATTTAACAAAATATAAGTTAAATTAATATCATTATTATTATTATTATTTGTTACGGATCAAGTCCATTCCGCAACTGTATCGAAACAAAGGATTGGTTATTATCGTGATAACCAATAAAAAAATCTGATTGGCACATCACACGACTTTCAATTACTCTCTTCTTAGCAGAATAAGGTATTTTCAGAAAAAGGGGAAGTGAAAGTAAAAAATATAGATGCTATATTTATTTAAATTTTATTGTGTGGATTTTTTTTTGTTTAAATACCCTTATGCAGACAAATTGTATTTTTTATATTGCTGTAATCTATAAAATTAAATATCAAATAATACCAACGATAGCATTTATGAAAACCACATATGTATATTTACATAATATTGTCGAAGTTCATATTATATTAAGCTCATGGTACGTATGTATAATCTTTCGGGCGAGCTCGGGTACGCTCGCATTGTTTTGGTTCCTCCATTTCAACCATTACCCGTTACGATCTTTTATTTCAACTTTAGTTAATTATCAAATTATTATATATTTTATATTTAACAGTTTTTTATATTAAAGATTAATGGGAAATGGTTAATTATTTCAAATAAAAAAAAATAAGGGAACTTTAGAGGAAGCTAAGGTTGAAAATTGGCCATTTAAGCCCTGTTAGAGAACATCAATGAGAATAAAACCTACATTATACGACAGCATTTATGAAAACCGTATATATATATATATATATATATATATATATATATATATATATATATATATATATATATATACATAATATTTTCGAAGTCCATATTATATTTAATTCATATTACGTATGGAAGCGATTTCTAATCTCTCATTTCTCCTTTAGTTAATTATCCAATTCTTTCATATTTTATAAATAACTATTTTTTATCAAAGATTAATGTGAAATGGTTAATTATTTCAAATAAAAGGAATTAAAGGTACTTTGGAGAAAGCTAATATTGAAAATTAGCTATTCAAACCCTGTTGGAGAACATCAATGAGAATAAAACCTACATTATATTAAAAACTTCTTAATGATACACCGATTTACTGAGTTTAATTAAAATCCTCAGAGCTATTTTTGAGAATATCCTAAAAAAATGTGTTAAATCGATTATATAAAGTACCACTTCTGGCTTGCCAATTTTGACGAAAATTTTGCTGTAACACCAAAGGATTACAAAAACCTGAAATACTGCAATTTCAGTTTCGTAAGGCTTTTCGTTTTTGAGCTAAGCTTTTCAAGTACATATTAACACACACACAAAGACCATTTTGCAGGACTTATTATTATAGTTATAGTTATTTGGACTCAGGGAACTACAAAACTTTTGTTTCCGATGAAAACTCAGACTTTCCACAAAATTTTCACGATCGCAATTCTTACCCCTACTATATATTACTTATATAGGTAAGTGGAAGTAAAAAAATTCTATCCACCTTAAGGGAATGAACTTCCATATCTACTGAAACATCTTGTTAGATTGATAGGAAAATTGACATCTACGAATAATTAAACTTTGTGTAGTGGTCGGATTCCTTTCACTACACATCGCTGCTCTAGGCCAATATATTTCGTCCCATGTATCGGTCCATGAGATGTGATAGAAACCCGACCGCCACACCAAGTTTAAATAGATGTCAATTTCCCTACCAATCTATCAAGATGTTAAAGTAGACATGGAAGTACATCCCCTTAGGGTGGATAGAATTTCCCAATTATTTTAGTCGAGTTTCTTTATAAATTAAAATATTTTTTTATTTTTGGTTTTCAAAATATTAACAATTCATTTTCATACCATATAAAATCAATAATTAAGCGAGGAATTTAGACCGTAAATAAAGTATTTTGAACTCAAATTGTTTCAAAAGTTTCACACGATCTGAGTAATTACAGCCACCAAAGTTAAAAATCGACCATACCATCCACTCAAAAAATGTTTACGTACCTCCTACCGGGGATTGATTAAACACACTTTACATAGTAATATGACAGAATTTTGAGCTCAAATTATATTAAAACACTCAGGGAATCTCACCGAATAATTCGAGCCATCAAACATAAAAATCTATCCAGTCGTTCGCATAAAACAGCGTTACATACGTTTTAGTGGACACACCGAACACATTACCTTCGTGTCGTTTTGCTTTCCAAACACTCGCGGGACCTCACCGAATAATCTAATATATCAAACATAAAAATCTATCTGTTTATACTGAATGCCATATTGTCTAACGAACATAACATTACCCCGCAATATATTTGTAAATATGTTGTAAGTAATTTCAGAGAAGAAAAAACAAAACAAATAAGTTCTGAAAATTGATATCGTTGTATTGTTTGTAACAGACTAAAAAGCTCATGATAGTCTTAGCTAATATGTTCCCAACTAAAGATAACATTTTATACCTCAAAATTTTGAATTTTTTTGTCTTAAATTAGTACGGTTTTGGTCACTGCGTGCCTTTTAATTTACATAAGTTAGGTTAAATTAAATTTAAATTTTGAAGCAAGGATCAATCGAAATAATAGGATGAATGAACGATAAATCGATATAAAGATGTTGATAGGTGCTTTATCAACATTTACGCATGTAAGTGGTAATCGTATAAGATTACATGTCAAATGTATCTAATATATTATTTATTATTAATATGAATGCAAAGATTTTGTTGAATAAAGAATAATCAATCACGTCTTGATTATTATGGGTACAACGATTTTTAATGCATTAGAAAAAGTTCTGAAGTGAAATTAATGGATGTTACTCATTATTTTTTTATTGAGTTAATATAGAGTATATTGGCTTGATTTTAAAATTATAACAAACATGCTTAGGCAATATTTTTTATAACAGCTGTCTTAATTTGATTGTTGCTATGTGATAAATAGTCATAAATTTCTTTGCTTTTATTTATTTGAGGTTTATTTATTTACAGAGTTGAGTTTCTTGGACCATTAGCTGCGATGTACCCGTTCAGCATGTCCTCCAACGGAGGGTTCAAGGAGTACTTCAGAGGGTTCTCCGTGGCCATGCTTCCAGGCCAGGAACGAGAGGACGTCGAGAAGGGTGGCAAGATCATCATGCCGCCGAACGCCCTGGAGGCTCTCACCAGACTCAACGTCACCTACCCCATGCTCTTCAAGCTCAGGAACCCCAAGAGCAAGAGGATAACTCACTGCGGGGTCCTCGAGTTCGTCGCCGATGACGATAATGTCTATCTGCCGCACTGGATGATGATGAACCTCTCCCTCGAAGAAGGAGGTAGAGTCGAAGTGGAGAGCGCTTCTCTACCAGTAGCGACCTTCTCCAGATTTCAGCCGCAGTGTCCAGACTTCCTCGACATCTACAATCCCAAAGCCGTCCTGGAGAACACACTCAGAGGATTCGCCTGCCTCACTGCTGGCGACATCATCAACATCAAGTACAACCAGAAGAATTACGAACTTTCAGTATTGGAGACGCAGCCGGGAGACGCTGTTTCCATCATAGAGTGCGATATGAACGTGGACTTCGCTCCTCCTGTGGGTTACGTCGAGCCGCAGGTAGAAAAACCGCCGGAACCAGAGGAAGAGGAGATGGTCACTGACGTGTTTGTTCCTTTCAGCGGCGCTGGAGTCAGGCTGGACGGCAAGACGAAGAAGCGGAACGATCTTTCTCCACTGCCTAAGAGGGTCTCGACGGTGAGAGGTATCCCGGACAACGACTGGACGGTAGGGACTTTGGTCTTCATGAGGAACGTCCGACCAAAAGAAACTGCTGAGAAAAAAGATGAAGAAAAGTTCCAGCCATTTTCGGGAGCAGGAAATTCTTTAAGCTAACCTCTATGTAAAACTCCATGACAGCAAATAGCATGTGCTTTTGTTTTAATTGTAATTTAATATGTTTTTTTTTCAATTTTAAAATAAAAAATATAAAGTACAGATGCAGTATTTATTTTCTTTGGTGCTATCCCTACATTTATGTAAAGGTATAGGTATGTATAGGTATTGGACCACATATAGAATAGAATAAAATAGAAAATAATTATATTCTGGGACGAAGTGCCTTCAGAATAACAAAAAAGTCCAGAAATTAAAATGTTATATCTGGCCGAATAAAAACAAACATAGAAGTAAATATAAACATAAATCAGTAAAAAAATAATATATACAATATACAAAACTCTTGAAACCATACCAAGATACTTAAAACTATGTACAATGGTAAATAAACCCTTTTAGAAAACAGAAAAAATAAATGTAAATTCTTCTTAACAGTAAAATCTGTGTTTCTGTTGAAAAAAAAGAAAGTCGAATCTATAATAAGTATATGTAATGAGCTATATGTGAATATATTATTATAAATAATATGTAGTTTTATATAAAAGGTTAGCTGGTATCTGTTTTTGGAACAGGAATTGGAGTAGGAGAGTTTCGAATGTAGATAGGGATGAAGAATGTCGAATTTTGATAGGAAGGGAATTCCAAAAATTAACAGAGCGAGCAATAAAGGAGTTAGGCAGATCTGTGAGAAGGTATGTAAAGGTCGGAAGGTCGAGATCTTGTGGAGAGGGAGTGGACTGATGACTTGAATTGGAGAAGGTTGTAGGCGTAGGAAGGACGATGATTGTTGATGATATGATAGAGGAATGTACCTAGGAAATATTGTCTTCGAATGGAGGGGAAGAGCCACTCTAACTCAGTGTAGTGGTGAGAGACATATATGTGCATGTTTACTTTAACAACAACAGAACTTTGATTCATGAATTCATCAATCATTATTTGGGATAACAGCAGGAATTTACACATTTCAAGGATTAATTTTTAGGCTTGGAAATATCAAATCATAATTTAATACGAACCCTCAGGTAGTGAACAAACAAATTATAAATTGTTCCCTATTCTCTTCTAAAGAAGTATATCTGGGAGAGCTATATTTTCAGGTAATTTACTACATTCAAAGATTTAGTACTTTGGAAGAAGATGCTTGCTCAATAACAAAAGTAAAGAATGATTTAACAATTATAAATAAGTAAAAAAAAAAAATGTTAGTTATCAAATTTTATTAAAACTTAATCATAGATATTAATTTAAATGGAAAACAAATCTAATATAGATGTTATTATAAATATTTTACACTCTAGATATTTAAGCGCAGACTTCGGAGGGGAGTGAGATGGAGGGGGCGGTGGGAACCTTAGTAAAAATAAAGATGGGGGGGAAGGAGAATATAGTTTCGCCTCTCCGCAATATTTCGAAGAACAATAGTAGAATCAAAATTAATAACAATTAATCTACATTTATGAATAAAATATGTAAACTAAAATCGATTAAGAAAATACTAAAAGTTGACTAGATGGCTAAGATAAGGCATAGAAGTACTGAATATTGAAATTTTAGTTTATATTCAAAAATAATTTTATTTAAAAACATTTCCTAGGATTTTATAATTCTTACATGTGAACCCTTCCATTGTTACCTCAACATTTTATCACATTGAAGCATCGGAGAATTGAGAGTTGATTTCAATCATTCAAAATTTTAAATAAAAAAAAAAAGTAATATATACAATTGCTTTGTTAACGTCTTTTTGTAAACATTTTTCGATACACGCTCAGTGTCAAAATGTTATACACGCTAATTGAAATAAAAAAAAAAAATTCATGTTTTCTTTATTTTTGATTGATATTATTTTTTAAAGCAAAGTTTAAAGTATCAATTATGATATTGAAAAGGAAACAATCTTGTGTTCCTCCGAAGAAGAGCGCCGTTTGATTTCACCACTCATCATTGATTTCATTGATTCATCACCCACAAGGATGGGATGAGTTGATAGGAAATAGCCCGCTGAATCAAGCGGAGTTTTTCATCGGTCACGAAGTTTATTCGGCACGGGGAGACATATGGAACCCACCGTTCTACCGGGAGGCCCCCTGCTTTGACATTATGAGAAACGGAATATTCTTCAAATCGCATCCAACTCTCTGGAGTTCAAACAAAACCAAGGAATGTCCAAAGATTATTAAAAAAAGTCAAAAACAATGGTTGGAAAAAAATTAAAAAGAAAGTGTCATTGGAAATTTGCAATTCTGGCTTCATGTGAACAATTACCTCAACAAACAATTGTACGATTCATTACCAAACAGAATTTTTGAATTAATAAATGGTGGTGAAAGGTCACGAAGTATTAAAATGAGTTTTATTTATTTTTATCAGGGAGCGTGCCTAACATTTTGACCAGCCTTAACCTTTAATTTGAAAAATAAATAAAAATTACATATTTTTGGCTTGAGAACCACAATAGAAGCAGACTGCAGATTAACTTCAGGTGAGTGATAGATTATTTTACGGATAATTTTTTAAGTGTGTATATTATTTTGACACTGAGTGTATATTACAAAAAAAAAAAAAAGTTGAATTTATTGGCCCATGGATTACAATCTTCTATTGTATGGTGAAACAAACATTTTTTTTTTTCATTATTCCTTCATAAATTCCTACTTAAATAAAAAATTTACCTTTTTCACAATATACGTATATTTATACACATTTTTCAATAAATTTATATATCTTTGAATATTTGTTAACTAATACAACAGATTTACGAAAAAAACAGATGAGAGATTCGATCTACTATTTAAGGTATATTAAAACCACTTATGAATGAATACTATATCTATTCAATGGAGCTATAAAATTTAACAATGAAGAATTACTCAGGGTGCTTGTATTTGGTAAGAGGTTATTGCAAAGCCTAAAGTTTATAGTAGAGGTTTATTATATTAATTTGAAGTAATTTTTTACTTATTTATTTTTTTCATTTTTGAATTGGTTTTTGGTCAACAATTTCGAAGCTATTTTTATTCCAATTCCCATTTATTTCTGTAATTGTATATATTGTATAAGAATGTGTTTCTTATATCTCAAATACTTAATGCCCTTGATTGAGGCAAAATGTAATTTTTCTCAATCAAAAAAAAATTTATTCCAAAAAAAAAAAATTTACACATCTAAGTTCTTTTATCAGTATTAAAAAGCTTTTATTTAGTTATATGTAAACGTATTTTGTTAACGTTTTACTTGGCTATTATCAAACATACCTTTGCACATATTATATAACACCAGTCAAATTTTTTTGGGATGAAAATCATTTGTCTAGGCATTTTTGTCAGTCAGGATTTTAGTTGGTGTTAATTTTTCTTTCTTATTTTATGTGTTGATAACCATTTATCAATTCGGATCTGCACTATTATTAAATTTTCAACTACAAACCACATTTCACATACATATCACCAACTATATTGAAAAATGTTTTTTAAGACATGTATAAGAAAAGTTATTTGTAGTTGACATTTGAAAATAGTGCAGATCCGAATTTATAAATGTTTATTAACATATACATATAAAATAAAATAAAAAATTAACCACCAACAAAAATTCTAACTGACAAAAAATATTTTTGATATTGATAAAGAACTTTTATCAATTTACTTGTTTGATAAAAATGAGTTCAAAAATTTGATAATTAACTGTTGGTAAATTTTTACTTTTAACAGTAACCAATGATTGAATAAGTTTCAAGTCCTTTTTACATGTAAATTAGAATTACAAGGAGTAATAGTAAATATTGATAATGAAAGATAATATCAGTTAACGTGTAACGTGTAAGATAACATCACTCTTGATGTTGAACAAAAATCGAACCGTATGCCAGTTCTGTTCAACGGCGCCAGGCATCATTGAAGAGCCTGCCCGGAATACTCCAGTTCTTGGCGGACTTCCAGCGATCTGACCAGGAAAGGAACGCTGGAGTTATGTCAACTATCTGACCCCTAGTCATGACGGACTGATGGCCAGGATGTCTGGTCCGAAGAAGGGATATTCTTGGTCTCATCATCGAGGGAGGCCAGATCGTGGAGGTCAATTTATCTAGGAAGCAATGACCTCGTGTTCCCAAAAAGAGATATTCTCTTCACAGAAATCTTCTCGAAAAAAGTTTTCCGATTCAATATATATACATATATACATCATATATTAATTATTTATAATAGTAATTATTTATAATCAGGTAATGCTAGGAGTAACGAAGTTTACATAAAATAAAAGAGAGAAAACAGCGTGTATTGGGAAATACAATAGATATAATAATAATTACAAGTGTAATTCTATGTATAAACGAATATATTAAAAAACGAAAATTCCCAATACAGTTATACAGAAATAATATATTCTTGAAATATAAGAAGTATTATTAAGTTATAATAATAATAATTTATTATTTTATTTTTTTTATAAATGCCTCTAATTTTAATATGAAAAAAAAATCGCACATACTATTCTGATTTTTTAATAAAATGTATCCCAAAGACCTATTTGTGTTGGATAAAATTAAAAAATTGAAAAAAAATTAAATTCGAGAAAGATTGGGATAAATTCTCTAGTTTTCGAGTTAAATTTCAAAAATACAATACAAAATTAGTCTATGTTTATAACTTTTTTTTTTACTTTTCGACCGCTACAAGCTAAGGAATATATTGTTAAAATATTAGGAATCCAGTTTTCCTTTTGTATCTTTTTTTTTCTAAGACCTCTGTTTTCTTTTTTGTTTTTCAAAAATATTTATTCCGAAATATTACATTCTGTCACAATTAAGGACATTTATGATAGTGTTCAGAGAGCACATTCACACTATATTTACAATAAATAAAAATAAATGATACAAAAACTAATAATAATCAAACTAAATATCAACATCAAAGTAAACAAAAGAACTAAGCTAATCAAACTAACAACTAAAACACATGCATACTATACAATATTTACTGAATTAATTCACTCAGAAGAACTCCTAGAACTCCACTCGTGAAGGGAAAGGCAGGACTCTAGGAGATCCCAGCGCCTTGCACTGTGCCGCATTACT